GAGCCGCGCGACGAAATTCCCTTCCGGAGTGCTGGGGTGCTCTATCGCTGACATTTTCCTATCTTGCTTCATCTCCTTTCCCGTGGCATTCTCGATGTAGCTCACATATACGTCGGCGCGCGTGTATTCGTACGTGTGTAATATGTAAAAATTGTATGTAATAATATATATATATATATATATATATATATATATATATATATGTATATATATAAATATATATATGCCTATGTGTAATTTATGTATATATAGATCCGAGCTGAAGCTACGAAGCGTGAGAACGGCTATCTATGGAGCATCGCTATTGTGTGTTTTGCACTGTGAGTCTTGTGTGTCGGACAGAAGAAGCCGCGAGAGGTGCCCGTGACGGGCGCACATGTGACGGGGGGATGGGGTTTCTCTAGTCTCGTAGCTGTGGGAACGAGGTGGGAGCTGGGTCGAGTCTCACGTGGTAGCGAGGGATCCCTGATGGCGAACGGACACCGAAAGTGGCCCCATTTGCGACGTCGATAGCGCCGAGAGGCGGCCGTGCTCGAAGGGCGACGAGGCGCGGGATAGAGATAAACCCCGGCAGTTTTCCGCGCCAGCGTGGAAATTCGGTCGCGAGCTCGTTAGGCGCGAACGAGAGACACGCGCGCCCTCCCCTCCCGGCCGCCCAGTAATTGGTAATTGGACGGTAATTAAGCGGCGGTAGTCGTTCGACTCAGGCGCGCGTTTTTATCGCCGTGATTTCAACAACGAATTGGCCTTTCGTAATTGCGCATTAATTTTTAGATACTCATTTTTCCCGAGGCAAGTGTATGGAAATCTAGAAAAATACCGCGGGCTTTAATTGGAGTCGCGTCGTAGCTGATCCGTCCTCTCTGTACGTGTGTGTGCCGCTAAATATTGTAATTCTCGGTTGATTTTATGCATTCAAATTCAGTCCATCTGAATGACAAACGTACAGTTAATAAATGTTACGTCATGAAAAATCTGCGAGTTCAACGAGCCCCAGACCATCGGCGACGATCTGCGCTATTTGAAGAGCGCCGTTATGAAGTTCCCCAGCAGATAAAAGTACCAATTCCAGGGCACTAATAACACCAATCTCTAACTCTGGATATTTTTATTGTATCGGGCTTTAAATGCGAATATGTAGTTAAACTTTTAATACGTAGAATATATCTTCAACGTATATATATATATATATATATATATATATATATATATATATATATATATTTTATATTTTTTGAAAGTTTAATAATCGTATTTAAAAGCAACACAAGAGTGTCCAGAGTTAGGGGCCGATGTTAGTAGTGTCCAGATGCAACGGTACGTTCATCTTGGTAGAGAAAAAAGAAACAGAAGAGAAAGACGTCACGCGCGCGCAAATTGACTCACGCGGAGCGATGCAGTTCGGTGAATCCGTATCGACGAGTAACCGGCGGAAATTTTTGCAGAAACGACGACCTCATATCAGCGTCACATCGCTCATCGCGCGCGCGCGGTCAATAAAAATCTGCCCGTCGGATATCGCGCGGGTTATCACGCAGCTCGAAAATGCGGCTTTCGCGCGGCGATATCACATCGCACTTTGGGCACGGCCACATTTCGCGGTCCGACCGCGGTCCATCGGGGGTCGCACTCCCTCCGCTGCCGGTACTCCCGACGTGAAAAGCGCGTGTAGCTGATTTCGGTAAAAATTCAAGGGATATCGATATCATAATCTTTTGGTGCTCTCGGTGTGTACTGAGCGTGTGTCGGTGTGTAAGTGGAGACAGTAGTGTACCTGGTTGCCGTCGTAGGTCCAGGATCCGAACTTCATGTCACAGTGTTGGTCGTCAAAGGGGAACCAAGTGATGTCTATCTTGCATGTGCTCTTGAAGATGCCCGGAGGGACGTACAGGCAACTGCCGTTATGCGTGACCACCACGTTTGTTTGGTACGTCCCGTCGAAACCCTCATCCGCACTAACGTTTCATATCATACCACCATTAATTACCCTCGTCAGTCGTCGATCGTGATCGTTTCGCGGTCGGCTTATAATCGCTCTTTAATCGGAGCTTGACCGCGCGCAGTTGATCTGAGCCGTTGCCACCGTTGCGAGATCTCGCACGGAGGATATCGACGAGCGCGAGTACACGGCTGTTGGCGTTGCGCGTCCAAGGGATGCAAGAGAAAGAGGAGGTGGAAGGTAAGAAGGGTGCGGGTCGAGACGCGAAGCTCGAGAGGCGGCGCAAGGGGCGCTGAATATCTCCCTTTCTAATTGCGCTTGCTCTCGTCGTTTTCGACGACGACGTTGCATTATTATTCATAAGAAGCGTCGTCTCGCGAGAAAAATAAACGCGTTCGGCATCGAGCGCAATTAAAACTTCAAAGCGGATTATACCGGTTTCCGCCAGATGTCGTTCTCGACGTTCGCGGGCTCCTTGCGCGTCCCTTGCGGCTCGACTCGTCCCCGTATTTACCTCGCGAATCGTAATATTCGGGCGCATCTATCACGCGACATCGCGATCCGAGCAATAAAACGAGAGGAAGAGGGGGGGGGGGCGGAAGGGTGATAAAGCGGCCTGCTCGCGAATGTTATTCATGAAAATGCAAACCGCTTAGGACCGGTTTTACGAGAGCCTCTTTAAGCGCGGCCCGGGGACCGAAAAGGATACCACGAGGAGCGGAAATGGCGAGGGAGGAGATAGATGGAGACCGAGATAGCGTCGCCTGCGCGCGCTAATCCTTCAAGAATAATTTGAACCGACCACTTAAACGGCGTTAAGGGATAAAGGCGGATATTCGTGAAGGCAACGGGAGCCCGCTCGCGAATTTTTGCGACATATTTATCTAGCAAAGCTGCTTATTGAGCTGCCCGAATGTCACGCGGCGGGGGACGGCGAGCGCGAAATGATATTCCCGTTCCCTCGGGGTACGTGCTGATGAGAAACGAAGGAGGAAGGATCCTCTTCACAGTTGGCAGCGCACCCGGCGAAACTAACTCGGACAAGCTTCCGCGACAGACAATCCGGAGAAACTGATATATCAATTCGCTTTGTTAAAAAGAAGTAAAAGTACCAATGCCTGGACACGTTTCTAACACTGGACATTGTTGTTTGTTTTGGTCTTTAAATACGAATATTTAAGCTTTTAACACAGAACATATGTATAGGAGGATTACTGTAGTAGCCTCTGATATCGTACCTCTTTATTTTTTCAAAATATTTGTAGTTCGCACAAGATACGATATAAACAGAAAATTTTTCCTTTATATTTCTCATTGCTCATTTCTTTCTTATTTTTACCGTTAGACGTTGTCCTTATTATTATTTAAAAATAATAAAAAAATTGATGAGGTGCGATCTAGGAGATCGCTACGATTTAGGCAACTCTTCCTTATATATTGAACTATTTGTATCCACTGTGTTAAAAATTCAAATATGAAACACGTGCTATTAATTTTGGACCAGTGTTGGGCATCAATCGAGCAAAATTTCCTCGTATTAAAATAATCATCATAATCAAAATGTATCATATTGACGTCGTATATGTAATCGCAAGTAATGTTATCAATCGATGAAATTAATTATTGATCAGACTCTGGTATGATTGATTATTAACTCACTGATTAATAATTAATTTCATCAATTGATTAAATTATTTGTTATTACCTTATGACAATTGATTAATTTTGATTATTGATTCGCCGATTATTTCAGTCAAGAAAAATTTCGATCAACTCTAATGTCCAACACTGCTCCGAATATTCTTGTTATTCTGGTTTTTAGATACGAATATTTAAACCTTCAACATACAAGTTATATATATGTATACGTGTGTGTGCGTGTGTGTGTATATATATACAGGATGTCACACTCTCCTCCGGGCATTTTGTGGGGACGTAGAATGAGTTAATGTGAACATAAAAGTCTTATATCGTTTTGCGATATTCGCAATAATTATCGAGATATTTATTAATTGTAGAAAATTTATAAATGATCATGCAGGATATGGTAAATAAGTTATAATAACGATAACTGCCGTCGTGTACTTATACTTTAGATTAAATTGAACAAAAAAGTCCTCTACCATTTTGCAAATAATCACATAGATTTTTAATTATTAATTAAAGAAGATGAGTGCATTATCACGCAAAATCATGCAATAATCTTCTTTAATTAATAATTAAAAATCTATGTGATTATTTGGAAAATGATAGAGGACTTTTTTGTTCAATTTGACCTAAGATACACGACGGCAATCATCGCTATTATAACTCATTTACCATATTCTGCATGATTATTTACAAATTTTCTACAATTAATATCTCGATAATTATTGCGAATATCGCAAACCAGCATAGGACTTTTATGTTCATATCAACCTATTTTACGTCCCCACAAAATGCCCGGAGGAGAGTGTGAGACACCCTGTATATATATAATTGCCTTTTTAGCAAGTATAAAAACTGAGAAGTAATAAATTACATACAATATTATACGTATTCTGCGTTGAAGGTCTAAGTATTCGTATTTAAAGACTAAAGCAACAACTGATGTCAACAACAACTAAAACAACAACCATGTCCAGGATTAAGTACGTGTCCAGGCATCAGTGTTTTTATCTTATGTACTCATGAAGATGCTCGCGAGATGATGCTTATGAGGAGAGCTGAACATTGATATCGATGTTAATATTCTTCCGGAATCTATGCTACGGACAGGAGCGAGAAAGCGAGAGAGAGAGAGAGAGAGAGAGAGAGAGAGAAAGAGAGAGAGAGCGAACAGGCGGCATCGTCGTTGTCGATGGTTTCGCGGATGTCGTTCTCGCCAATCGAAAATCGATGCCGCCGTATCGTTAAAGTCTCTCTTTCTTTCTCTCTCCCTCTCTCTCGCACACTCACTCTGCGCTACTTTTACACCTTATCGCAAGACGGAGGGGGATGAAGCAAGCTCGTAGGACGGAAGGGAAAAAGGTGCGCTTCCGGTGGGTGGGTGGTATTGGTGCAGCCAGGAACGGCTGGACGGAGAGTCAATTAATTAGCGCGCGGAGAATTGAATTTTCAACGCCGTATTGCATTAATCGCGCTCGTCTGCTTCTTCGTACGCGATCCTGATCGGTGGCAGCGGCGGTGGCGATGCGCGGCCATTCATTCGGCCGGATGGGATATTAAATGCGGTCCCGTCGGTTTTGTACGTTTCGTTATTCGGCCTGGATCGCGCGCGCGCGCGCGCGCTCGATTAATGCGCGTTTAATCGAACCGCGGCGCCCACCCGCAGCGCGGCGGGACGGGGCTTTGTGAAATCGGCCGATCGGGAAAAACCGATCGATCGCTTCCTCTAATGTTCGTTTATTTCGGCGCGTCGGGGATAGCGGCATTGTCGTCGTTGTTGTGTGGCTAATGAAGACTAACGAGAAACGGCGCTTCACCCTTCCCTGTCTCCCCTCCCCGAAAAGTGTGTGTCCGGTTAATTAATCTCGCGCCGGCACGGAGCTGCGCTCGCGAGTGCCCGGCATTGGATTTTGTTGTTGATCGTGTCCCTCTTTTGTGAAAACCTCGTTATCCGTCGCTGCATTTGTCCCAAGCCGTTGTTCCGGCTGCGTCAGGAAGTGGCTCCGGACAGTGTGTGCACGCATTGCGTTCCCGGTTGTCCCGTTGCTCGCCACCGGTTATCGCCGCCGTGTATTAATTAGCGCGAAGAAAGTATCGGCGGCCGCGACAATTTGCGATGCGGTCCGGCGCGATGAGAAAGCGCGAACATTCGCAGCGCGATTACGGAGTCGCGATAACGACGCGTGAAATTTAACGACCGAATCGTAAGGGGACTAATTAACGATGTCGGGGGACGTATCGGTGCGCTGCTTGCGATTTGCAATCTACGGCAACGCAGACGCGATTATCGTGAGATCCGTAGCGTGGTCGCCCTCGGCGTTTAACCCTTCAGTTACGGATAAGCTGGAACCTATCATTGAACGCGTGTAATGGATCATGGCAGAGTGATCGACGTTCGTTCCCGGACAGACAGGTGTATGTAGTAAGTTTGACGGCAACTTTATTGTTCGATTTGTAAGGGTTGCATGCTACTTACCAGCGCTTCGTATGGCATGTATCTTTATTCATCACACGGAATGACGAAACAGAATTACTGCAGAAAGGGCCAAAGTGCTCAAAACAGTATGTCATGTAAAACGGAAGCCCGTAACGGAATGTAACTTTCCTTAGTAAATTTGTTGCGCTACATCAATAAATCCGCACTGAGAAAAAAATATTAAAAAATTAGCAAATATTTGTTAGGTGGGCACGATTAACATATTTACTTAAGTCACAATTCTCTTCATTTAAACCGAGTATTGTTTACTTAAATTATAATATAGTTTAAGCAATATTCCTTTAAGAATAAACAAAAGAATACTACTTTAAGAATAAACAATACTCGGTTTAAATAAAATTTAATGAGAATTTCGATTTAAGTAAATATATTAATAATACCCACTTGATAAATATTTGTTAATTTTTTTAAGTATTTTTTTCAGAGTAAAAAACTTACATTGTTATGCGATGTGAATTTTACGATTGATTTACATCAGTAAATATTCCTAATAAGTTTAACGAGAGAAATTGTAAAGTTGCCATCATCGATCGTCTCGCGTCGTGATAACGAAACTCGTCGTTTACTACGTAGAATCGGAGCAACTTCTTCTTCGATAAAGTTTTATGATATCTTTGTAAAGAAAATAATTCCTTCTTGAGTACATGAAAATGAGCTTTCCTAGATATATTTTAAGACTATCATCGAGAAAGATATTCTTTGTAGGAGGCAACCATTACTTCAAAGAAGAAAGATGAACTGAGTAATCGCTTATCTTAGTAGTAGAATAATATTTCTTTGCGTGTAGATCTATCTGAACAGACTTTTTCATGATTATCGCGACGTGCGACAATTTATGATGGAGATTTCACAATTTTTTTATTACATTTCTT